TTATTTCATTCAAAGATGAGATTTAGACCTAGACGAATATAATTATATAACACCTCGATGACCACTAAACTAACATACTTTATTATTATTCAACTAACTTAAATAATTTATATAATATAGTTTTTATTAAAATTATACATTAATTTATATAGTTTAATCAATCTATAATTTGACCACTCTATTAGTATTATATTGACTACAATTATTTTAAATAAGTTTTATTAAATTTTATAGGTATAATGAATTTTTTTATAAAATTTAATAAAAATCATACAATTCAATTAATAATTTACCAATCCAATTTCCGATCTACTATTCAAAACCTTGATCAATTTGATAACCAGTCTAATTTTTGAAACATTGGTCTCAAATGTGATTTATGTTATATAAGTTTCACTATAATAAACTCCCATCATATCTATATGATCGTAGTTAAATACCTCTCAGCATAAAAATCTCCTTAAGCATCCAAATATTGATTTATAAAATAAAAATAAAAACACTTTCATTTATACAAGTTTCAACCCAAATTTTTTAAGAAAGTCGAACATCCAATTCACTATTCCAAAAAGATTGTTCCAAAAACAATCTTTATGGAATATGCGTCCAAGAAAACAAGTTCTAACACTTGCATGCTTTTGAAAGATTAAGTTTCACGCTTTGAATGATTCATCATTATCTTCAAAACTAAAATGAAATCGATCTTGGAATGAAGAGACTTTCTGAATATCTCACATTTATTACATTATTACTTTTCTAATACATGAAAAGCCTATCATCAAAAGCAATGTTTTTGTCACGTTAATTTTCCCTTTTCATATATAGAAAAAGGTGTACATTTAATCAGGATACAGATGCTGTTTAGATAATTGGCAGTGCTGTGATCGGGGTAATGTTAAGATATGCAACAACTTCGAGGTTTTTTTAAATGATTTCTCCAACTGTGTCAACACGTTTCTCTCGAACATTGAAGAATATATAATCTATAATTATTTCATTTCACAAAAATACCATTATGAAACATATATTACAACATATACTATGAAGAAAAATGCTCTGAACTATATTATTTATACCAGTACTGTATTATAATCATTAGTTGACATTCAAGTACATTGCTGAGTTGCATTAATAACAAAATACCTTGATGTTGGGCTGCATTTTGAATCTTAAGCCTTTTCAGTCATGGACTTCACAATCTACAATTTCGCATACATGAAGCTATCAACGTAAAAAAACATGTATATACTTGGATTTATTTGAACCCCATAAGTTTATGAATGGAAAAGCTACTTTTGATTAAAATAAAACCATATATAAACCAGATACACAGATAAAAATATGGTGTTGGCAACCATAAAAGTTGAAATGAATTACAGCAATCATAAAACCAAGAAGCTTTGCAACTAAATCTAAAGATGAACAAAACCTTGCCCATATCAATTTCATGACAAAAACATAAAATACTGCTTAATAATGCTGGATCATGAACCACGTCACACTATCAACACAGTATTCTTAAAACATTAACCGCACTGTCAAGGCAAGCATTTAGCAAGAATGACAATAGTAGCATCCATCCTTTGCTATCATGCCTGGTTGCCACCACCCCTATTACGTCCACCCATTCGGCCCCTACCACGCCCATAACCCCTTCCTCCACCTCTGCCTCTTTCATAACCACCACCTCTGCCTCCTTCATAACCACCTCTGCCTCCATAACCACCTCTGCCACCTTCATAACCACCTCTTCCTCCTTCATAACCACCACCTCTGCCACCTTCATAACCACCTCTTCCTCCTTCATAACCACCACCTCTGCCTCCTTCGTAACCACCACCTCTGCTACCTTCGTAACCACCACCTCTGCCACCTTCGTAACCACCACCTCTGCCTCCTTCATAATCATTACCCCCACCTCTGCCACCTTCATAACCTGCACCTCCACCCCTGCCACCATCATAACCAGTACCTGGTTGCAAAATGCAACAGTTCAAGGATCAGATTGAACAAGGACAACAGGACAAGCATCTTCTAGACACGCATCATAAATATAACAATTCATATTTAGTGGGATGGATGTGCAAATTGAGATAAAACAGGAAACGAAGAAGCATCCACAAGTTAAATGTTTCCGGGAGAGGAAAACTTTGACAAAACAAGACCAAGAGTATATAAAAAAATTATGTCCATTGTCATTTTTCCATTGCAAAAGATAAGATAATGAACAACAGAAGATAATAACTAAGGAAATTAGTTCCTTGTACAGTAGACAGAATTCTTAACATTTATCATCATCACAAAAAAGTGGGGAGAATAAGCAGTCAAGTAAACTTACCACGATACCCCCAACCCCTACCTCGCCCACCACCTCGTCCTCGGTTTGAATATCCACCATTATCTGCTGGTAACAAACCACAATTAGAAAGACCATCTAAAAGGAAAATTATATAAACATCTAAAATAATATGCACCACCAACGTACTAACTACGACACCCGTGTTCAGAATCCATACCTTGATAATTTCCATACCCACCCTGCTGGTAATACCCATATCCACCTTGATAATTTCCATAACCACCTTGATAGCCGTAACCACCCCTTCCCCAATTCCTTCCTCTCCCTCTCCCCCGACCACGGCCTCTTCCTCGTCCATACGAGTCTAAAATAAGATATTAGATGAGCTAAAAGTTAAAATTATTGTATTTAACATCCAGATGATTAATTATTGTAGTAGATATATGCAGGGTCACCTTCATTTACAGCATTATATGGAACCCGTGCTGGTTTTATAGGTTGCTGCTGATAATTGGAGTGTGGCTTTGGTTGTTCCACATTATGTGGAGCTTGATACCTATAAACAGAACCATTTAGACAACATTCGAAATATACAAAAACTCAAACAGTAAGAATTAAAAATATAGGCTAGAAAATTATTTCAGCAGAATATTAAAACAGACAATAATTCAATTGATGGAAAAAAAAAGAAAAAAAAACTGGAAAAAAGATCCAAAGTTTGTTACAAACTCACCCAGGAGAACTTTTGTTCAATTCTCTTGTTGATAAGGTGATTGAGATCATAGAAACATGTCGAGTCATTTCCACACTGCATTAAATATTAATTTTTAACTTGACCACCAAAATACACAAATATGCATGCATGCAGGTTAAAACTTCACATAAAACTTACGGTACAAGACCCTCTTCAATGGGTTCCCACACATCTGTTATGCTAACTGAGCTGATGCCAGTATCTTGGTGCAGCCTGGGAATTCTCTTCTGTTTAAGGAGATAGATAACCAATCACAAAAAAATAAATAATTTTAAAGTATTTTGTATTTTATATATTTTTAACTTCCCAGCAGCCATTTATTCTTAGAATTATTGACCTGAGAACTTCAAAATTATTACTGCCAAGTACCAACTATTTAGGAATATTTGTCATTTCTTTGTATATTCAACACGTATCAGAAACATATGCTAAACAATCATTTGCATAAATTTCAAAGAAAATAAGAGGCTCAAGAGGAACATCTTGCAAAGAAAATTAACCTTTAAAATCTCCGCAATGGCAACAGTCTTGCTGATTGCTTGTCCCATTGCCTTCAAGACAATCTCTCTTGCATTCTTTTCCTGGATAAATTACAACATAAAACAAGAAGACAGCATAAGCAAGCATATCATGGCTAATTTCTTGAAGATGTGCCGATCATCAACAACATTAAAACATGCACAGGCAGGCACATATATGGGTGTAAATGTGTTATTCGTGAATTATTCAAACCCAACTAATAGAGTTACAAAATCTTCAAGAACAAATTTATCGAAGGAACCAAGCTCAATTTTTATATACCCTATGCCAATCAATCTCAAGCTTGATATTTTTAACAAGTCAAGATTGAACTTCAAATTTGGTTCATTTAAATAAATGAGTCAAATGTGAATACCAACTTATTTACAAACCAAACTTAAGCTTAAAGTGCTCATTGCGGCTCAACATGGTTACACCCCTAAGCACAACGTCCCAATCATAAATAGAAAAATGGGCATAATAATTAACTAACTAACTAACTAGAAATGTTGCTTCCCAAATTATAAATCATGAATCTAATCATATGACAGGTTAACAACGTGATAAATAAACAACTTAAAGGAATATGTATATTAGTATCTACAAGTAAAGTGAACAGAAGATATTAATTCACAATAACAAGAATAACATTGCATGACACTGGACCAAATATACAGAAAATATAGTTTAAACAAAGAAAATATTAAACAATAGAAAGCTTACATCACAGAGTTGGGCAGTCCGGTAATGGGGTCTCAATTTAAAGAGGAATGGAAAAATAGCAGAGAAAAACAGATTGGTGAATTTTCAAATGATTGTAAGCGCTCATTGGGAAAAGCATCAACAAATTAAGATCATGTTTTATTCTCAGTTTGGTGACAGTCTGTACTTTGTAATGGATACAATGAAACAATTTAAAACTCTTTACAGTATTGTGGAATCTAACCAACAATACATGCAGCACCATAATAGATTTCTAATACAACTTCAGATCAGAATTACTGCATTTGTTTATTTGACTGAATTGGACAATTTGAATCAGAAATTGTAAAATTTCTATAACAATGGTTTATATTACAAGTATAACACATGAAAATAACGAGTTAGTTGAGTAAAATAAAGATAACTTAAAAATTAGGAAAGAATGCAATCAAAAGAATGTTGAAGTAGCACCTATTGATGAGAAGATGATACCAACTCTTATATATAAGAGAGCTTGGTGATGTGAGGAGAAGATCCATCTTTGAATGCGAGTTTGATCCTAACTCAACATTAAAAACCAGCTTGTAAGACAAGGATTGTCCCTCATTTATTTACCTTATTTTGGTTTCACCTCTAGTTAACGTAGGACTTGAATTTTTCTTAATACACCTCATAATAGCCAACACTATTAGGGCTTTGTCCTCTAATTCCACACAACAAATTTGGCTTGTACAATAAGTGTTTCCCTCCAATTATATACTTTATCTTTAGTGGATATGGGACTTGGATTTTCCCAATACCCCACAAAGGCCCCAGTGCAAAAGGTGGAGTAAATGAAAGATTGTGTAATTAAAATGGATTAGAAAAATCAAATAAAATCCTAGGATAAACCACTAGAAAAAGAAGAATGAGACATGCAATCTGGGATGGAAGGTAAGCAGTTGACTACTTAGAGAGAGTTTGACTAGCAAGGAACATCGATGATCAGTACAGATGCAGAACTCAGAAAATGCAGGGAATGTCCAGAAAATAGCACCAGTGTGGTGATCAGTGGGATGGAGTTCTTGAGCATGGATGAGATGAGATGCGGCTTGTTTCAAATGTGAATAAAGGTGGAAAATGAAGAAAGGAGGGTTTTGACTTTTCTGGAAAATATTTTAAAAAAAATAGGGTTGGAAAAGTAAGAGAATGAGGGCAAAATAGGGCTTCCCCCTCTACAAAACAATGGAATGCAGTTTGCTTCAAGTGTGAATAAGCATGAAAAATGAACAAATGAGGGTTTTGACTTTTCTGAAAATTATTTTTAAAAAACAGGGTTAGAGAGGTTAGAGAATTGGCACAAAATAGAGTTTTCCACTCCACAAAACAATAGTAAAAACACAGTCGTGAGAGACAACCTCAGCTGCAAAATGGCGCAATGGTGCTATTGCATGAGATTTATAACCACATTTTAGTGATAATCTACAAATTCCTAGTACATACTCACAGCATAGCATTTTAGTATTCTTTTTCAAAGGTTTCAAATTGCAGACACAATATCATGACAAAGGCGTCTACAATTGCATCACAACTAAAATTGCGGCAGCAAAAATAATATTTGCTCAAAATATTTTCACAATTTTGGTAATTGCAAACCAATAGCAATTTAAAACATTAACTTTTTCTATTGCACTGAATAGCTACTAAATATAAAAATAATAATAATAATAATAATAATAATAATAATAATAATAAAATAGACAATTTAAATCATATCCGTAAAAAAATACACATAAATCAAATAAAACATACACTCAAATAATCAAAAAACTACATATTCGAAAAAGAAAAATATCATTTCAAAACAAACATAATGCAAACAATCTGAATAATTCAGAAACTGAAGAGACAAACTCCATATTCAATTCATAAATAAAATAACATACATTTTTGTCTACCTATTCTTTCTCCCCTTCATTCAACAAATAGTAAGAAAGCATTTCTTTTCACAACCAAAGTCTACACGATGATAACAAATGCAAACACAGAACAACATCAATCACACACAAAATCCTGTCAATCAAAAGCCACCCAAACCGGCATTCAAACGCAAACAAACAAAACCCCAATCCCAAACCCCGAAAATGTCACCCCATACCAACTCCTAAAATCAACAAAACAAAACCCCAATCCGCGCAAAAATGAAGAACTTCTCATTTCCCTTTATCATGGATTCACAAGAAAAGGACCTGAAGAAGTGAAGTGGCGTAAGTGATGTAGTTGCGGATAGCGCCTTGTGTGGTGATTCGGATCTCATTCTCGTTGATGGGGGACTCGGGCTTAGGCTTCTCCACTTTCTGGTACCTATCCATGGCTTAGCAGAGAGAGTGTGTGTGAGTGAAACCCTAACGTTAAAACCCTAGAGAAGAGGAGAATAGAATAAGAGGGTAAAGTGTTTGTTAAACCTCAGGCTCCCTATTATGCTTCTTGGGTGGGTTTCTTTCGGATATTGTGCGGGTGCAGCTCTTTTTATTGTGCTCTTGCACTCATGTCCACCGTTTGTTATCTTCTTTAACACGCACGTGTAGCACACGTACGGTCCAGATTGTCTTCTCCGCTTTCCATTTTCTGATTCTTGGATACACGACGTTTTGTTTCCTTTTATGTGAAAACAGGTAACCGGGGTAGGTTGTTTCGCACACATGACACATGTGCTTTTCTTGATAAGATAAGATTAAGTACTTAATATATTAATCTTTTTAAAGATCAAGTGTGTAATTTTTATTATTTTTTTTTAGCATGCAATGTACACAAATTGTGTGGATTAGTTATTGTTTATGTTTTTTTTTTTCTATATAAATAAAAATAAATATTATAAGCAACTACTTTTATGGTTAAATTTTCAACAAAAATATTTTTATCTGTATTTCTTTTACAATTTTTTGAATTATTTTTAAACTTTTATTTCTTTTAATATATCATTTCCATTTTTATTTTTAAATTAATTAGTATTTTAATTTTCTTGTTGAATTTTTTGTGTAGAAATTTTTCTTTATATTAATAGTTTAAGCAATTAAATCTCAACTTTAATTATTTTTTCATTTTAAATATTAAGTACTTATATGTTTAAATTAATTTTTCTTTCCAGGTAATTATGTTCAAAACATTGTTCAATATTAGATGATAGTACACTTTTAAACAAAGATTCAAAAATTTTATAAAAACATTTTATTTTTTAAATTAAATATATATATATATATATATATATTACTTTAATTAATTATAAAGAAGTGTTAGTAGTCCGATATTTTTTTTAACAAAATTCCCACCATATATGTTATTAAAAATGATAAAAATAATTCTTTACATAATTACACAATCTACATTCCAAATACTTGTTGATCCAATCCATAAATTCTTAAGTAAATGATAATAAAAATAATAATAATTTTATATCTTTCTACAAATCATTCTTCAATCCTTTAAAGAAAGAATTAAGTAAAGAAATAAATATATTACATGTGTTTAAATTATCATTTTTGATCTGTATCTCAATTAATTATCATGCTAAAATATACTAAAAACAACTAATAATTATTTCAGTGATGAGCATTATACTTATATGAACAAGAATCGAAACACATAATTAACATTTAGAAATATAAAACACTTTCATTGCTTATCATACATGAAAAGAAAATGAAAAAAAAAAAAAAAAGCAAGTCCATATTAAAATGAAAATTACATGCGTAATCTTATAATTAATATTTTATTTTATATAATGCACAAAATTGTACAAGGTAATTTTTTATTTTACATGTATAAATATATTTTATTTTATTTTATTTTATACATATAACTAAGACTTATTTAATTATATTATAATTAAAATTTATAATAAATTATTTTGATCATATAAACTCTATATTAAGTTTTTTATTATTAATTTATATTATGACATAAGATTATTTTAATTATTGATAAATTAAAAATAAATTTAAAGATGTTTTTAGTTCCTACAAAATGAGTAAGTTTTGTTTTTAATTCTAGAAGAAAAAAAAATCTTTGTTTTTCATCGTTCTAAAACTTGAAACTATTGATTTAGTCTCTATTATTATGTGACCTCTTTTAATTACTTATGTATTTATTATAAGGTTATGTAATCATTTTAAGTAATAATCACAATTGTCTGTGATATTTTATTTGCAAATATCATTTCTAAATTTTTTTATATATAAAATAAGTGATATATATATATATATACCTTAAAATGGTCATCAGATAATAAAAGTAATAATTTTAAAGGATTGAAAATTAAAGAAAAATATTTTATGCAAATTAAAACCAAAATTTGTTTATTTAATAAGGAACAAAAACAATGCTTAAAAATTTTAAAAGAATGAAAAATAAAGAAAAAATTTTACTATAATCGAAATTCGTTCATTTCACATGTATTAAAAACATACTTAAATATTTTTAATAATATTTATTCAATGGTGACAATTTGTTTAAAAAGAAAGTTGAACTACTAATACTCCTAGATAATTAATTAAAGTAATATTATATATATATATATATATATATATATATATAAAGAGAGATTCTCTTACTCTAAAAATAAGTTTATTTAGATTTATTTTACTCAATAACTCATATATTATATCAAATTTCAATAATACAGTCATTAAATTAAAAGTTCTTAATATATAGATTAAGTTTGTAAATTTTAAAAATAAATTATGGATACTCATTTTCATTAATTTAAATCAACATATTAAAGAAACATAATATCAAATAGTTTTTAAAAATTTGCAGACTACATCTATCTATTAATTTTTTTAAATTTCATAATTAAAGCATTAAAATATAAAGTTGAGCATGAGTTATATGTAACACCCCGATTTTCATAAAATTATATTAATATTATGTTATATAATTATTTTAATATTTTAAATGTGTTCATTAAAAGATTTTGATATTATTTAATTGTCTATATGAGTTCTATCTTATTATAAAGCTTGATTTATAATTATTATTTTAATTAGTGAAATATGAGTTATTTTATAAAGTGTATTTTATTATTATGTTCATGTTATTTGATTAAAGAAATGAATATGTTTAATTATATATATATATATATATATATATATATATATATTATTTTATGAGAAATGGAAGGAATGACATGTTGGTAAATGATTAATTTATTATTATTATTTATTTTATTAATTGAGAAAAAGGGGTTAAGGAAGTTATCAGAAGTATAAGTTATTTTCATGTATTCACTTACGTTCATTCTCTTCTGACCCTCATTCTCTCTTATGCTATGAAGAATAAGGAGACCTCGGAGAAGAAGACCAATCAGACTCTACTCGTGCTCCGTCCTCCACTCATCAAGGTAAGGGGAGTGAGAAACCTCACTCGGGAGTGTGGGAATAACTGTTGGGTAGAAGAATTGACCCCAACCTTCACACATCTCTCCATCATTTTAATCAATTCAACCATTGTAATTGGAATCCAACAGCATTCATCGAAATCATCCAACAACTCCAACATACAACAAGGGGAATAGAAAATCTAGCTCTCCTTACCTTGGGTAGCTCAGGTCCAAGGTAGAAAAGAAGAAAGATCGAGCTCTACAACAAAATCAACGATCTGATTCGAGGTTTTCATTACCTGAATCGCAGACAACATAACTTAGAAAAATAACTTTGTCACCTATAGTGTTCCTATCCTATAAAATCAAAGAATACTTACATAATTTACTTGAAGAGATAAATCAAAGAACATTTAAATTGAGTCAATAGTGACTTGTGTAAAGAATTTTTTGAATCATGGCTAAAAATAATGGAACTTGATTTGTAACACCCTGATTTTTACAGATTATATGAAGGCCCAAAGTCCAATAAGGGTGATTTCGTAGTCTAGAACGGACCATTCCAAACTACTAAAAAGGCCTATAAAGCCTAGTTGAGAACGGGTCGTTCCCAAATTGGAACGCGGCGTGCCAAACAATCAAAAAGGCATGTAACCCTAGTTGGGAACGGGTTGTTCTAGTTTAAGAACGGGTTGTTCCAAACATGGCCGTTATGAGTTAAACTCAACTTTAGAACGGGCCGTTCTGGTTTAAGAACGGGCTGTTCCATATGCGAATTTAACACATGATGAAAGGATCCAGAACGGGCCGTTTAGGATTCGAAACGGGTCGTTCTGGCCATTTCTGACATCTATAAATAGCAGACTCTAGCACTGCTCCTAAACACACTCTCTAAAGACCGAGGAGAACCAAGAGAAGGAGATCAACCAGATTCTGCTCTAGCCTCATCTTCTGCTTATTCAGGTAAGGGGGGAGTGAAAAACATCGCTTTGGAGTGTGAAAATAATTGTTGGGTAGCAGGATTGACTCACAATTCCTTGCATGATGTATGCCTATAGGAACAGACACTTTATAAAAGTTTTATGTTTTGCTTTCTGATTGTTCTATTGTGTTCCTTGTTGGATGTGATGTATGAATATGTGATTAATTTTGAAAATAAATAAGTTTTAATATGAATTAAAGTGCTTAGTGGATTCTTGTGGGAAATCCTATGAAGTAAAATTAAGGATATGATCTTTAGATGAATTTTGAGGCATTATATGTAAAATTGATGATGAATTCATGTTTTAAATAATTTTTGGGTATGGTTATGTGCTATTTTATATATGATTATGAGAAGTTCCTTGTATGAGACTATGTGAATATGATGACAAAATGTGAAAAGTGAACATATGATCTGTGATATAATATTATGAGATAAAATGACATGAGACATGATGTGAATGACGTGCTATTGTGAGCACTATGACTATGAGAATGCGAAACGTGATGAAATGAGATAAGACATGAAATTCCATGACAAGTAAAGTGATGAGTCCATGAGTTTGTGAATGTGTGACATGCATCATATGCATTTATGTGACGGGGTACGATATGGAGTACACCGTTAGGGAAGGCCCTCCGAGTGTGAAACATCTTGGAGGAGTCCTAAGGGATAGTGCGGTTTAGAAGGCCCAATTCTGCCTGTTTGTGTGCATGGGACATATCTTGCGCGACTTCACTATCCCGAAGAGACCCTATCAGTACATCCTTCTAGTTGAGAGTGCACGGTTGAGCCGGCATGTATTCCTAGACTACTCTATGTGTATTGCTAAATGCTAGCAGCAATGCACCATGTGATATGTGACTGGCTCTACTGCATGCATTCGTGAGTCGAGTTCATGGCATCATTGCATAATGAGTGACTATGTATGTGCTACTAATGTATGTATGACTTGAGTTGTGCTTGATTAACGTGTATTTTGTGTTGTGTTTTGTTATAATTTGTGTGTGTGTTGTCTGACCGTTATTTTTACACCTGAACCTGAGTGAGATGTTTCTCACTCCCTTGTTGTTCTTTGTATGTGTTTAAATTGTGTTGCAGGTGATCTTCAGCATGAGGATGTTGGTGACCAGGCTTAGGCTTTAGTTGGGCGTGCTCTGATAGGATATGTGACATCGAGCATAGTTAGACTTAGTTTGGGAATTCAGTTTTTTTCTTTTGTTTTGGAAAAACCTTTAACTTTATTTCTTCTATAATTTTCGCAAGTGAATTATGAGTATGTTTACAAATATGAATTCTCTACTCTCATGTTAATGAAACCATGGTTTTATTTCAAAAGATTTATTTACTCTAAGAATATGTTTTCATAATTATTGTATATATATGTTGGGATAGAGAGTATCACATGATTAGTTAATTAATAATTGAACATAATTTTAGTGATTAAAATGAATTAGTATAAAAAAATATTATGTCGATGCTTTACTTCATCTTTAACTCTTGCGTTTATTTTGTTGCTCTCGAGAAAGTTTTGAAGTTATCTATAGGCACAAATAAATCTCTCTTCTTTTGTTTCATTTTACTCCGCACCATCCAATATATTTTTTAAGATAAATTATCTAATTCAATATAATTAAAAAAAATTAATTAGTTTATTTAATAACATTAAATTTATCCAAATTATATATATATATATATATATATCAACGATCAAGATTAAGAAAACTAGTTAATTTAGATAATAATAAAATTATCACACACACACACATATATATATATATATATATATATATATATTAAATTACTCTTAATATTAATGAGACATTTACTTTATAAATTATTTATTAAATTAAGATAAATGACTTTAATTAAAGGTACCTTTTGAAAGAAAAAAAAAACAATGTCGTAATTCGTAAACATTCAAGATTAGTTCTTATAAAAAGAATGAAACAATACTTTTGATTTGAGTATTATAAAAAGGACTTGAAGGAGTATATGGACATAATTTTATTTCTTTATTTTAAATGCATTAGTTTTTTATTTTATAGTTATTTATTATTTCAAATAAAAATTTCTTATTTCTAGTAATAATAGCATTTTATTTTTATATATAATTTTCATAAACATTTTTATTTTTCTATATTATTATAATTTAATTTATTTGATTATCTTTTGATTTTATGTAACAATATTTTATTATAATCTTTTAATTTTATTGGATTACTTTATTAGTATTTTTATTGTATTTACTATTACAGTATCACTTTAGTTTTATTTTTTTTAATTTTGATTTTTCTTATGTTTACAATGTTGTTCTACTCATTCTTTTAAATAATTTATTGCTACTAATAGAGTTGAGACACTTTGTACCTCTATATTTTATTTAAAATTTTTAAAAATAAAATAAATAAATTGAGGTTAAGTAATAAAATATGTGGTTAACAATTTGAATGGTTGGAGGTGATTAACTTATTTTAATGATACAAATAAAAATAAGTTTTAATATTATTTTTAATTATTTAAAGATTTAGGGATAAAACTGTCGAAAACAAAAAATGGTTACACTTGGATGTATCCCTTTTATATATAGGGATATAGATAATGATGATGATGATTGTTAAGTTATTTTTATGTTTATTTTTTTTAATACAAAATTATTAGTATTAATTTTTATTTTATTATTTATTTTATTCTCTGATTTTTATAATAATGTCATTATTTTTTATAAGATGATTTATTGTAATAATAAAATTATATTTATGAGTAAAGCTATAATCATAAAAACTGAAAAAGAGAATAAAAAGTATTATAAAATTATTTTACAATAATAAAAAATAGTGCTAATATATAATCAAAATATAGTGATAAAATGTAATTAAAATAAATAAATATTAAAACAATTAAATATTTGAAAATTATGCATATTTTTTATTTTAAAATAGAATATATTTGATTATCATTGATAAGTTTATTAACTATTACTCTTCACTAATAAGATAATGGTAATACATTTTTTTACAAACACAGAAGATTTAGAACCTATTTAGATACATAGTAAAAATATTTTTAAAAGTTTTTTTTACTGTAAAAAAAAAGTCTTTATTTTTGATAACGAAATACTCAAAAATTCTTTTAAATTTGCATTTAAACAAAATAATATTTCACACGAGTATGAGACGATCCTACTAATGCGGGTATAAATTGTTCTAACTTTATTAATAGAAAGTGGTATATACAAGAACCATAACTTCTAATTAGTTGACAATATAAATTTCTTACACTAAGAGTATGTTTTAGTAAAGATTATATGAGAATGTTTAAGAATGACTATAACCCTATATTTTCTTTTCTTTTGGGAAAAAGTTCGGTAAAGAAAATCTATATATTTGAAAAAACAATTTAAATTTCTAAACAACTTTTGAAAAACATTTAAGAAAAAAAGTTGTTTTCATAAAATAAAAAAATTGAAACTTATAATTATTTATTTTTTTACTTTCAATTATTGAAATAATATAATTTTCACAACTTTCTCAAACATACTCTAAAAGAGCATTAAAAATTAAACTCTTAACTTTAAACAACATTAAAATTATAAATTCAAGCTCAGTTATGGGGTGACTATAGTGTACCAACATGGTTATTTACTGCCCAAGATAGAAAAGGTACTTAAATGATGATGTTAGGAAGAGGATCATCTTGCAGTTATAAGGTGTACCACTTTCACTACTTTTAGTAGCAAGTTAAATGATTAATACATACGTTCCCAACTTTTAGTACTTGAAAATGCAACTCAGAATAAATAATTCACATAATTATTATTACCTAAATTTACAAAAACTAATATCGAATATAGTTTGCAAATATCACTAGGAAAAATTGTCAACACCCATGTTTCTTGACAGCTAAACTAGACATACAACCCAATTATTATATATTACATACTTTATGACAGCTTCTGCTCTTGCCTGAAGTGAATGATCCACAAACATTGGTACAGCAGCATCTAGATACAACTGTCTGCAGCAAATGATTCTTCAAACTGAACTTTTTACCTTTTGGCGATTGTGTATATTGCCTTTGATTTCTGTTGAATTGTAAACTCAAATTATTACTTGAATAGAGGAAAATGAAAACAGTATCATGTTGAATGTTGAACAATTGAAAGTAGATTCATCTAGTAATTTAAGGCAGTGAAGTGGTAGAAAATGGAAAGTAATGGGAAAGCTCAATAATGGTGATCAACTTGTTGACAAAAACAATTTGCTCAGACCACAAAAGCAACTTGAAATCTGTAAACTTACTTTACATTCAACTATATAAACTTAGAACATGTTGAAATCTGTAAGCTTACTTTAAATTCAACTATTCAATATATTTATAGAAAATAAACCACAAAAGCAACTGAGCTTCCATCCGGGCAGACTTTCATAAAGTGTGGAACTAATCCACCTGGGGAGAGACTAGTTCCACCAGGATTGTTTTAGTTAATTATAATCTTGACTGTTCATTTATTTTTATATTATGGTCAAGATTAACTCCTTTAACACTTTCACTCCTAATTATGAAAATCATAAATCTTGACCATACAACCATGTATGAATGGTCAAGACTGATATTAGTCAGTTTTAATCTTAATCATCAATTTACAGTTATATAGTCAAGACCAATTGTTATTAATTCTTATGACAACAAGTGAGAACAATTCTCACTTGATATGCTTCACTATATGCACATGTGTGTTTTATATCTAACTAGATGTTCTTATCAGAATTTGCAAATGCTCCCACGTGAGAAATGACATCCTGTTTGCTCCAATATCCATGATGGTGAGAGACACCTACAAAGATACTTCGACTATTCCCGAGTAAACAAGTTCTCGTGTCGAAGTATCTTTACAGGTACTCTCACTGTCGTGGATATTGAAGACCAGGATGTCATCTCTTGCCGTGAGAGCATTTGCAGGTAAGAACACTAGGGTCTGTATGATCCATTTGACCGTGGCAGTTCACTCATTTAAAAGATATTGATACTAAGGCTTGATACTTGTCTTGATCACAAACAAAGTGCACTCTCGATCAAAGCAATTCTAGCAATTTCTCATAACTTTGTGCATTAATAAAATTGACTTAAATATTTTTTAGTCTTTCAGAGGGATCTTTGTAGTCTTTTAAGTCTCTCAAAAGACTAAAAAGACATGGAATTTGTTTTTAATACACATGATAAATTTGTTTTTAATCCCTCAAATTTAAAATTAATCTTTTCAGTACCTACAATTTGAAAAGAAATAAAATCCCTCTATCCAAACTTTGTTAATAAATCTATCACACAATGCCCACCTACCACAGAATCTCCCACACAATTGACCCACTAATGCCCTTATTAGTGAAAACATCACATCAAATATAGACATATAGTTAATGTTGCACAACTAACTTATTCTATGTGATCTTGTGGGTGGTCCTAAGTAACTAAAACAAACTTTTTTTAGATTATAGTGACTACAATACTTATTTTAAATTTGGGGGGACTTAAAACAAACTCCAAATTTGAGAGTCTAAAAACATGTTTAAACAAAGAAAATTTAAAGATGTTCATTTAACTGGAAGTTCAATAACATGAATATCACATTGTATCTTTCTCCCTTCAAAATGACCATATTCTATACAGGAAAGGATCCAAATCTGAGTATCTACATTCAAAATAACTATTTCAAACCCAGAACTAACTTGGCAATCTGAATCTAAAACTGACATATATCTCAAAATTAAATAATTAGTACTTATCAAGACCATGAGTGGTGGGCATTCCTTGCTCATCAAATTAACAAAGATCTAAATTTACTCTCTAATGTGAACTAAAAATCTACACTTCAACTTGATTGTGTAGGAGTACAATGCAGCTTAGTGCAGTTGGCAAAATGTTTCTCTCAAATGATTTTACCCTTCATCTTATTTGTGCCTAATATTAGATATCTAGCAAAGGTAATTCACCAAACTGCTGTACAATGGTACCAAGAATGGATGCTGCATCAAATCACTTAGAGAAAACAATAATGAGAAAGAACAAAATTCAAAGATGTGAATATGTTGAAGCAGTTACCTGAGTTAAACATAGGGCCGTATTGCTTTAAACACATAAACACCATACTATACCAAGATGGAGAATTTCATCATTTTCAAAATTTTCTACAATGTCTCATTCCACACTTCATCTAATAATCAAACTAAACATTTCATACAGCTAGGTCTAATTAGGCAGCTAAACTGCTAAACAATTCATTTCAGCTAGCATGTTTGTCAGAATAAGGTAAAGAAAGCAGAAATAAAGAAATACATAAATATCCATTCATACTGCTTGTTGGTCTAACTATGCACCTTATCTACCAAGTTTTTTCTTTCCAACTATGACTTGCATTAATACCAGAAAAGGCAAACAAAGTAGAAATACATAAATATCCATTTATAGAAATAACATCACAAAAAGGAAAAATAAAATAATAATAGAAATTATTTAAAATAAACTAATAAATAGTTTGTCTAATATGGAGAAGCTAAAAGTCTAAAACCATACACTTTCAAAATAGAATAGAAACCAGGCTAGGCAATGTAAAAGACAACAAACAAACAAGTATTGCATACATAGCCCACCAACAATCCCATCCTCTAAGATTATAACTGCTATGCTAGCAAGTACAACTAGTTTTATAAGGGGCCATACTAACTTTATACAAAGTTGGTACACTTAATTACATCCAGCAATCACGGCCACACTGGCACTGAATTATGACAAGGGCTGAAAGCTCAAACGGCAACGACATATTTGGTGGAATACTTTTGATTTGAATCAACCAATGTGAAACTTATCTATAATTGACTCAAGAGCCAATCAACCAAAGAGATTACAAAATAATCAGGACTATAAACAATTTCATGATCAAAAGGCACTAACAAATTATTCTAAAACAAAACAATACAAACAAGACCAATATCACACGCATTTAATTTACTTCTCAGATCAAAAGCCACACACAACACAATCACTTGTAAAACAGAACATAACAGGAAACAAAACCAAATCAAGAGTTTAAATTAAGTGCTCCCCAAGAAACAAAGGATATATACCTAGTACTGAAGAGCAGGTTGTTGACGCTCACCCAGAATATTATGCAGCGAAACAGTTGAACAAAAGCTAATAACTTTGTGAAACCTGTTCATCAATGAAGGCAAGGGGGGCACTCTCCTCCACACACACCTCCCACTCTCCCCATCAATCTCACACACACAAGCAGGGTACATCATGTGGTAATCCTCATTGAAAACATACACAAGATCCCCCATGCCAACACACTTCAAGCTTGCAAATTTATCATCCTCGTCCCCATCAAACATGCTACAGAGCAAATCATGGGGCATCACAGCAATCTGGGTGACCCCCATGGTGCCCTCATCAACCTTCCACAGCGCAAAGGAGGAAGACCCGTGTGGGAAGTTGCAGACCCCAGCAAGCACAAGGTGGTTCCTACAAGCCACCAAGAAGGAGAACACAACCCCATGAGGCCTAAGGGTGTGGACCTCACTCCAAACTCTCAGGTGCAAGTCAAAAGATGAAACAAAGCAAGAGTATATCCCAAAGACATAGAATTTCCCCCTGAAGAGGGCAGAGGAGAGGGATGAGGAGGAGTTTCCTGATCTGAAATCAGGAGGGAGAGGAGGGGCAAGGGCCCATGAGCCCAACAGAGGGTCATAGATTTCAACATCCAAACGGTCCTCTATGTCAACAAGGTTCCCAATGAACCTAACCCCACCAACAACAATGAAGTGGGGGAGGGTAAAGTTGTGATTTTTATTGCTGGGGGTGTGGAAGGAGGCAAGGAGGGGGTTGGTCCTGGGGAAGTTGAGGGGAGGGGTGGCGTGCCAGGAGGGATGGAGGATGGGGGTGTAGAGGAATTTGGGGGCAGTGATGAAGAGGAAGGAGTTGGATCCAATGAAGGAGGTGTTGTTGGGTTGATGGGGTGTTGGGAGGAGGAACCAGGTGTTGGAGGAAGGGTCAAAGGCAAAGGATTGGTTGTTCTTGGAGGAGATGTTGTGGATGCCATGGAGGAAGAACCAGGGTTGGTTGGGGTTGTGGGAGAGCGTGGAGAAGGAGGAGGAAGAGATGATGGAGTGCCATAGCTTGCACACTGTGGAAACTCTGATTAGGGTGGGGATTGGGAGGAGGGAGAGGATCAGCTCTAAAAGGTCTGAGCTTAGATTCGTGATCTCTGTCATCATCAACTCATCTCAAGATTCTTGCAAATGAGTGAGGACAGAAGAGAGAGAGAGAGAGAGTGACTGATTGATGATGATGGAGTGAGTAGCTGAACCTGTGCCATGGGTTGCGTTGAATTCTAATCAATTAGAATCACACACTTTATCGACTTTATCGACATTATTTTTCTCTTGGATTTTATAAGGGTTTTTAATCTACCTAAATATAATTAATTTTTGGTTTAATTACATTTTTTTCTGACTAAAAACTTAATTTAGTCCCTTATAATTTTTTTTTGTTTCAATTTAGTCCCTCATTAATTTTTGGTCTCAATTTGGTTCCAAACCAATTAATTGGTTTCAATTTAGTCCCAAATTAATTAATTAGTTTCAATGTGGGACTTCCGTCCAAATTATTTAAACGGAGTTAACTTTTGGCCACGTGGATGCCACGTAGATGCATACGTGGCATCACGTGGATGCATACGTGGCATCCTAAGAATTTTTTTTGAAAACACCTGGACCGGAACGGCCCGTTCTGAAACCGGAACGGGCCGTTCTGGTTGCAAAATTAAAACACCATCAGTGACGCAGAACGGGCCGTTCTGAATACAGAACGGCCCGTTCTGCTTTCAGAATGGGCCGTTTTGGACATCAGGCAACCCTCCCTCCTCGATCACTGGAAGTCCCTTCCGTTGGATAAGTATGACGGAACCACCGACCTCGACGAGCACGTCGACATTTTCTTGACCCAGGTCACCCTCAGCACTACC